ACTGCCAATGTGGAAAGACAGTGAGAGACTGAAAATATGGGCTTTTCCTGGGTAGAGGACCACTCTGTCTCACTGCTCTGTGAGACAGAGAATCTAGTAGAGATTTTGGCAGTCTTGAGGCACTGGAGAGACAAAATTAGAGATATGAGGAGCCAAGAGTCCAATGAGAAATAAAAGGTATAGCATATGAGATTTGGTAAAGCTGAAGTTTCATATAGGAGTGGAGGCTAAGACACTGAGAAGGAAGCTTGTGGAAAGAGCAGGATTCTCAGGAGTCTTGTCCTGCATTACAGGAGGGCCTGTAAATGCATGAGTAGAGGCTCACGATATCTATGACTTGGCAGCTGGGAGCCCAGAAATCTAACATCTCGTGACTCAGCTCAGTTGCTGTATGGATTACAACTATCGGCTATCTCCCCATCGTATCTGTCTAGCAGAGGAAATGTCAACACCTCTTTGGAGATGTATAGATCATCTGGAGCCTTTACAATGTTTTGTGTGTGATGAAGTCTCACTCTGTTGCCCCAGCTGGAGTGCAGTGGCACAATCTTGGCTCACTGAAACCTCTGCCTCCCAGGTTCAAGTGGGTCTCCTGCCTCAGCCTCCTGAGTAGCTGAGAGTTCAGGTACCCACCACCACACCCAGCTAATTTTCTGTATTTTTAGTAGAGATGGGGTTTCACCATATTGGCCAGGCTGGTCTTGAACTCCTGACCTCAGGTGATCCACTTGCCTAGGCCTCCAAAAGTGCTGGGATTATTGGCATGAGCCACTGTGCCTGGGCGAGCCTTCATAATTTTTATATATAATAACTAAAAGTAAGAGTAAAGAGATGCTGAAAAGAGGTGTACAGCAATAGTTATTGACATTAGCGGACTAAAACCTTAGAATAAGGATGATTAATATGCTCAAAGTCATAGAAGAAAACATGGAGAAGACAGATAAATTGGAATCTATAGAAAAAAATCAGATGTAGACTTGGAAATTGAAAAAAATACAATAATTACAGTAATAACCTATGGATGAGCTTGGCAGTATAACAGGCATAGTGCAAAAGGAGGTTAGTAAACTGAAGAGAAGGTCAAAAGAATACTCAACCAAGCACAGAGAGAAAAAAGGTAGAAAATAGTAAAACAAGCACGGGGGCATGTTGGGTACAGTGAAACCATCTATTAAACACATAACTCAAATCTCAGAAAAAGAAAACAGACACAATGAAGTAGAGTTACATATGAAAAGACAATAGTCAAAAATTCACCAATGAATTTCACCTGATGAAAGATAACAATCCACAAATTCAAGAAGCTCTGCAAACTTGAAGGAGAATAAATACAAAAAAACACTATACCTAGCAATACCATAGAAAACTAAAGAAAAATATGAAAAGTTGTAAAATCACCATAGACAAAGATATATTTACCCTCAGAGCAACAATATGACTGATGGTTTAATGAAAGTGAGAAGTCAAAATAATAACAAATGTTGGTTGGGCACAGTGGCTCATGCCTGTAATCCCAGCACTTTGGGAGGCTGAGGCAGGCAGATCGCTTAATCCAGGAGTTTGAGACCAGCTTGGCCAACACAACGAAATTACATCTATGCAAAAATTAGAAAAATTAGGTAGGCATTGTGCTAATCATGAGGCTGAGGGACAAGATACACTTGAGCCTGGGAGTCAGAGGTTTCACTGAGCAAAGATCGCACCACTGCGTTCCCGCCTGGGTGACAGAGCCTCGCTCTGCATCAAAATAAATAAATGAAAATAACAAAGTGTTGAAAGAAAAAAACTGCCAAACAAAAATGCTATCCTCAGCTTTAAAAATTGCATCTATTTAAAATTATTTTCAGACATACAAAAATAAGTGAATTAGTTGCCAGCACACTTTTTATAAAAAATGCATAACCACTTACTTCACAATTTTTATGAATAAATTATATAATAAATGAATTGGCAAGAATGCCACAAATTTAACATACCAGATATTCTAAAACCACAATTACTTTTGCACCAACCTAATAAAATAGAAATCACACATTAGGTTCACCTCTATCAATTTACTTCTTTAACTGAAACTAATTAAAATTTTTTAAGTGATTAAGTTCACTAATGCATAATATTTGTCAGATAGGTTCTCCTTTATTTTCCAAATCATGTTTCTACACTAGTTCATTTGCTATGCACTATCCCCCATGAGAAAGGCAAGGCAGATATTATCATCTTTATTGTATGAAAAATGAAACTAATGTTTGCAGACTCTGCAAACATCTCTTCCTTAAGTAGATGACAAAGTCAAAACTAGAACACATATTTCCTACCACTGTTCAACACTGAGACACTAGGAAGTAGAAATGAATTAATAGGATCCCAGGGGAGTCATACATAGCAAAATTCACCCAATATATAGCAAAGGGATAATTGTGGCTTCAGAGAATTTGTCTTGAATATTTTTATTTTATTTTAAAAACTACATTAACAGTATTATTTTAACCCTCTAGATATTAGATCATCACACTCCTAAATATTTTCAACAACACTATAACTTGACTTTCAGTCTTGTAGTTCCAGAAAAGTCTAGGATGCAAAAACCTTTCAGCCAATGTTTTACTGACCAATTTCCATATCAAAGGCCTACAGGAAAGTGAAAGCCACAATGTTTTGTGATCCATAAAACATCCTTAAGCTAGAATTTGAATTACACCATGTAAAAGCCCAGAAGACAATCTCCTGATTGAGTTCAAGAAATAATTTTGCCTCAAGGAAAGTAAAGGAAGTCTCACCATATCATAGAGGTCCTAAAGTATCTGTTAAATCACACACTGGAACAATGAAAGCAAGAGGTCATCAAATACCATAAACTTATTCTTCATACAGGATCCTTTCATGGATATTACCCAGTGTCCCCACATGATGCTTTTTTCTGTGACCTTGGAACATCACTGTTGCCTGCCCTGGGCTTTGTGCTATGGCTTTATTTTTGTCCTATAATGCTACTTCCTCTCTTTCTCACCTTGCACAGTTAAGAGTCCTTGTGCAACAAAATAGACAAAATTTTTGTGAAATACATTAAAGAATATTATGAGAATAATTTCTAATTCAAGGACACTATTTTACTCCATGTGATTTAAAAAATAATATTGTAATGGCTGTCAAATAAATCAAATTATACATATTTATTATATGATGATACATTCTGAGAACTTTTCTCAGTATTCTAGTGAATGTGAAGTGAACAATCTGTGTACTTCTGACTTTCTAGTATAAAATATTTTTTAAATGAAATTAAAGATTTTATATATAAAATATAATCCGTTCTCTTCAATATACATTTTTATTTACCATATAAAGGAGGTAAAACATCTTATTGTTAAAGGTAATAGCATTTGCCAAGAACCATGAGCCAAATACCACGGTTCCTCCTGTTGATCATTGCTAGCTGATTATTTGATCAGAGTTATACCCATATTGTATGTAAATGTGGATTTTTATTTAGCACATATCCCATAATGTAAGCATGTCAGCAGGTCATATGTTCACTGATCTATTTCAAAAAGAGTTTTTGCTATTATAAGACTTGAGGAAAACAGTCAACATGAGCAACAGGTTCTCGAAGAACCTTAAAGTAAAACCCCAAACGCTTTATTATAAAAACATGAGTACAACAAAGTTAGAAAGAAAACTTCGGATGAAACAGGTGGAGCCTATTTTGACGAGTAGCCAAGAAACAATTAAATAATTTCTGAATCACAATAGAAAACATTGCTGATAACTCCATAAGTCCTGATAAAAACAAGCTCTTTGCTCATAACATTGGTCTCTCAACATAACATGACATAATCAGACATATAATTATGCACTTCCCAGGAGAGACAAGCATGTAAATGCTACAATGAGCTTTTCCAAAATCAAAACTGACACCACCTTCTGATAGTGCCACCATTCATATTTAGTAAAGCCTCCCTGTCTTATCTCACCCAGTTCCTTTTTTACTTCCACCACATTGATTATTTCAATAATTTTCTATATATCTGTTATGAAAATACTCAAACTTTATCAAAAGAGCAAACACTAATGGTGAAAAATTATTTTGATCCTCTGTTTTAGAAAAGCTTCGAATTATCTATCTTTAAAGGGGAAAAAAAAACCATCTGAAGAAAAATCAGCCTCTTTTAAGGAAAATAAAATGACCATTTGAATTATAATTGTGATTGTTACTTTCTTATACCATAGCCGTATGTTAGACGCTGGAATACCGAACTTATATACCAAGAACCTCCTTAATGTTCAGGGATTAGTTACATTTAATATACATTAAATTCATAAATTAAAAAATGACTTTACGTTTTAAATATTTTCTATTGTAGTGGATGAAAACTCAGAAAAGTAACTGAACCCCCAAAGTAGCAAACTTTCACTTCTTTTCCTCTTTTTCACAAAATATTTCATTTTTGAACAAATTGAGGTTAAAAACAGATGTTCTGATAGGTACCACCGCTTCCGTGCGATCTGAAAATTGGACCTCCTAAACAAGGAGATCAGTAAAACATGTGTCCGCCAGGCAAAAAGCCAGGGGGTGGGGTGTTGGCACCCTGGCTATGTAGTACTTATAGGCGAGACAACTCTAAACTAAGGTGCCTGAGCAGGTTCAGAATCTTTTTGCCTTAAACCCACAGATCTCTGTAATAGAAAACATGTTGATTTCAAAAATGTTTAGCAAGAAAATCTTTTCTGGAACTACTGAATAACAAAAAGAATTGCCAGGAAAACGTGAAGCTCTCTAACTACATATTGGCCCTGTCTCTGACTCCATCCACCTGTCACAAATAATCTCCAAAATCAGCGCTTCGGAAACCAGAGAAAAGAGCGACAGTGAGTCTCCCTAACTTTGCCTTTTTCCTTACACCACTTGGGAATAAAACTTGGGCGTCTCTCTGCCCCGACCGCCACTTCACTTCCTGGAGCTCCAGAAGCTCGGTCAGCACCTGGATAACCGCGACACTCACCGTGAGCGCAGGACCCTCCTGGCGTCTTAAGTCCCAGCTCTCAGTCCCGCTAGCCTCAGAACAATGATATTTCTCGCCCAGGAGGGCGGTTGCTGGGAACCGGAATCGGACAGACAGTTGCAGTGAGCTTGACTCAGGGCTGAGCGTATCAGCGCTCAAGACAAAGGCTGCCCTGAGTCTTCCGTAATGAGTGCTCTCCCTTGGTAATCGGTGCCCGTTTCCCTCAAGCCCACACTGGGAGCGCGTGAGCCTGTGAAGTGGCTGTCATCGATTCCGCGCTCTCGGAGGGGTGCGGCTGGGTGACTGGTACCACGCCGGTGTAAACAGCGCGCGGCGCACTGGGGATCCGCCAGGAAAGGTGCGCGCGCAGGGCGGGCGCAGGGGGCCAATAGTAGCAACTACCCCAGGCGGCGGGCTGGAGCCGCCTCTACTCACCAGAGAGGCACCTACCCGGCGAGCCCGCCGCCAGCAGGTTGGGTGGCTGCAACCGCCGCGAACCCCAGCCACGCTCCCCAGTGGACCCACCAGGCAAAGGCACCTGCTGCCTGTCCTTCGGGGCTGGTGCTGTGCCAAGCCCCGCTCGGGGTCAGGGACAAGCCGCCCAGGACTACCAACCGGAGAGAATTCGTTCATTGAATGAAAGATGTTTGCCGTCACTCACCCGCGGAGGTTGAAGTGGTTCAGGCGGCCGCCAGGCTGCGCGCGGCGGGCATCCCGGGGCGCGGGCATTCTCCCATCCTTTGTCAGTTGCGGGTGGAGCGCTCCTCCCTAGCTAGCGGACAAGCTGCCGGGTGGCAGGCAGCCCGGCTCTGGCTCGGCTCCCCAGTCCTCTCCCCTCCTCTGCTCCCCCTCCCCTTCTCCGTCCCCCTCTCTGAGCCGGCATTCACTGGGCTCCCATGATGTCATCCGGTGGAAATCTGCCATGCTCAAAGACTGGAATAATCCAGCGCTCACGCGGGGAACGCAGAGCGGGCGGAGGCGGCAGCAGAGCCTCTAGGAGTTCCCAGAACTAGCATCTCCAGGTTAACTGGAGTCAAGGACAGGACAGAGGAGGGGTCTGCGGAAAGGTGGCCCCGAGGGTGTCTGTGGGCTAGGTGGGCGCGGTGGGGATGGGGCCGGAGATTAACAGCCTGTTCTCTGCCTAAAGATTCCTAAATCAGTATTTAGACTGATGGCAGATGCCAAAGGTAAGGAGAAAGTTTTTTTCTGGCTGCTCAGCTGCTCAGGTGCCCCATCTCGGTGATGAACATCTACACTGCAGCCAGGATAATAATCGGAACCCACGGAACTCTCGGAGCCCTAGTCTCAATGAGAAAGTTTAGGATGTCTGACCAATGACAGCCTCATTGATGAGCAGCTAAAGTGAGGGAGAAAGATGTGTACTGTTTACAGGTGGGAGTCTGAGACAAAACATTATAAAACCAGGGGGCCTCGGCAATCTATGACATGAACACGGAAAAGATCGCTGCTTTGAGGCAGGAAGGCACCAGCAGGAATTCACCCCTAGCCTTAGTATTGACCTCCTGTCCTCCCACCATATACTAATGGGCACTCGAGGAGCGACTCCCTTGTAGCCTCATCCAAAGACTGTCATCAATGATGAAACTATTTAAGTCACGAAATTTATTGAAACTCATAAAAGGTGGATGCCAATTCTCTCTGCTTATGATTCTGTATCATAGCAAGAGAAGTTTTATTAGAGGAGTCGACAAATAGCCTGAGCATTTTTGAAGATTCTGCTGTTTTCATGGAAACAGGCAGATTCAATAGATCTGGGATCCTACAGCAGTCTAGAGCAGCTTCATGTCAAAAACTCTCCTGTTCAGAGATCAGATTTCGACAGCTCATGGTTGGTGCTCTAATCAGTCCAAGCTTCAAGGAGGCTCTTGACTTCCCAGGATTACCTACCACCTGTCATTCCTGGAAGAGACTAAGCTTGCAGAGAAAAGTACCAGCAGCCAGTGCTGATTAGGCAGTCTTCAGTGAGAGTGATAGGAGGGAACAGGCAGACTCTGCCGCTGCATTCATCACCATTATCCTTTAGAAGTGTCCTTTAGAAGACTAGGAATCACATTTATTGAAAGTGTTGATATGGTTAGAAACGCTATAATCTTTGTAAATACAAAGAAAGGGATTCAATATAATAATAACAATTTGAAGGCTACTCACTATCAAATAGGCTTCTTATTGCATTGTGAAATTGTGAAATGGGACTTTTCTGAGGAAAAGTAGTAAGTATGAAAAAGCAGCATCAGAAATTATTTAAAATATAAAGTATCAATGTAATGGATAAATATATAATGTATAAACAAAAATACAGCACATTTACAATGGAGTAATATTCAGCCATAAAAGAGAACAAGATCATGTCATTTGCAACAACATGGATGGAACTGGAGGGCATTATCTTAAGTAACATAAGCTGAGCACACAAAAGGGAAACTTGGCATGTTCTCACTCATTTGTGGGAACTAAAAATTAAAACAACTGAACTCACAGAGATAGAGATTCGAGTGATGGTTACCAGAGGCTGGGAAGAGTAGTGAAGGGTGTGACAGGGCATTGCCATATTTAATAGGAAAAATACATAGCTAGGTAGAATGAATAAGTATTTGATAGCATAACAGTGACGACAGTCAACAACAATTTATTGCACATTTTAAAGTAACTGAAAGAGTATAATTGGAATCCTTGTAACACAAAGAAATGATAAATTCTCAATATTCACATTTTCCCTGATGTGAATATTATACATGGTATGCTTGTATCAAAATATTTCATGTACCACATAAATATATATATACCTACTACATATCTGTAAAATTAAAAACTAATAAAATAGAGTATCAAAAATTCTGATGCATATATTTTGGAAATAATGTGTGAAATCTGTAAGTGTTCACTTTCATTTATTTTTCAAATTAAAATGTTTTAGGTGTCACTAGTATATATATTATTATATAATAAATACAAAATAACATATCAAATGACTGAACAGATTTTAGAAACAAGTATTTTTTAATACCTAAATAATCAATATTTTTTAATAAAATCAGGCCAAATGGGAAGTAAACTAGAAGAAAATGTATAAATTTGGAAATGTAAGCAATGGCAGTTTTTGAGAATAGGAAAACAATCTAATGGCTTGGAAAAAGTAATTAGTACTGCTAATGACACTGTTCTAAGTGCATCAGAAGGTCAAGTTGTAAACATTCCCTCCTTGATTGGTTCTTTGATGCCCCATCTATCTTCATTGCCTCTGTTTATCTTCTTGTTCTTCAGAGTTCTCTGGACTAATTCATAAGAATGGAGGCAAGAAAAGGTCATAGTTAGCAGATCTGGGGAATTTATAATAATAGCCATAAAGATAAGAAAATGCATCCTTCAGCTTTTTATTTTTTTAATCACTGCTTTAAGGAACTTAAAGCAAAACCTAAATGTCTTATTTAAAAAAAATGCATTCATATGTGATAATTTATTTGGTTCTATGGAAATGTCTTCAGCATATGATTTGGGACCTTTTTGAGAATTAAAAATACTGTGCTGTGGCAATCACTCAGGACCTCGATCTTAGTAGTGGAGAGTGTGACAAAGCATTGCCATATTTAATAGGTGCAAAAATATAGCTAGATAGAATGAATAAAACCTAGCATTTTATAGCAAAGTGAACTTACTACATCTCTACAATTCCTTCCTAATGTGTGCTAACCTACTAATACCTTTGCCTGTGCCAGTGACATTTTCTACTACGGCTTCATGCTTTTTAACTTATTTATAATTTTTAAAATGTGGCGTTTGAATATTTTGAAATATTTTTATCCAAATGGATACCTGTAAATAACTAAAATAAGACATCTAATTGTTACATGAGAAAATGTAAAAGTATCATAAATCTCAGCCAAAAAAGTCTGAAATCATATTTTACACACCTAACTCACATTCAAATCATATTTAAATGGTGGATGTATTAAATCTTGGAATTGAAGATTTAGAGTAGATATATTATTGCTGCCTCAATTATGATGCTCTGCTGCACCATTTTCTTACTGATATATGATTCTCTTCACAAAAGCAGCAAGTGTTTTGGTGGGAAAAAAGATATATTTTTTAATATTTTTTTGTGAATTCCACAAAATATAAACTGTTTATACACATTTAAATTGATAGACTCCTTTACAGCTAGTGACTTTTATTTATATTTATTATTTATCTATTTTTTGAGATGGAGTCTTTCTCTGTCCCCCAGGATGGAGTTCAGTGGCTTGATCTCATCTTACAGGAACTTCCGCCTCCTAGGTTCAAGTGATTCTCCTGCCTCCACCTCCCAAGTAGCTGTGCACAGGCATGTGTCACCATGCTCAGCTTTTTTTTTTTTTTTTTTTTGTATTTTTAGTAGAGACAGGGTTTCACCATGTTGGCAAGGCTGGTTTCGAACTCCTGCCCTAAAGTGATCAGCCTACCTCAGTCTCCCAGAGTGCTGGGATTACAGGCATGAGCCACCACACCCAGCCTTTACTTTTAAAAACAAGTTTTCCTACATACAAATTTGTTAATCTTATACATAATACAAAGAAATAATATTAGTAAGCCCTTATGTGCCAAATACTGTGGTAACTTATTATATGTCACTATACCTGCTCTTCAAATCACCACATGGTGTAAGTGTAGTAACCTCACTTGAAGATAAGGAAACAGAGACCTACAGAGGTTACAAAAATTGTCCAGGCAACTAACCTAGCAACAAATCACATTTAAAATTTGTTTCTGTCAGGATAAACATATAAAGTCTGTCCTCATTACAGCATACTTGTAACTTTTAGGAATTATTTCCTCTGAAAAAAATGAAATGTTATATGCGTGCATACATTATATATACATATATATCTATGCACACATATATGTATTGTATTTGATGAGGTAAATAAAATACTTTTGTGAACTTTCCCTCAGTTAACAAACTCGTCACTAATTTTATTTCCATTATCACTGCTAATGAAATGATTTCTAAGTTATTTATGAAGAAAAAGAATTGCAGGCCACCAAATAAATTTTGGTTTTGTGTCTATCCTTAAACAGTTTTAGACATAAAGCAAGATACAGTGATTTTTGAGCTTGAATACAGATCGTTGCAAAATGAAATAAAAAAGAAAAGGAGCCATAAACCATTAATTTAAATAAAGACAAAGACTACCTCAGCAACAATTTTCTCTGTACAGTTAATCCATTAGTAGCTCTGGGAGAGAAAACTATATCACCCATCCAAATGAAGGCTTTCTTTCCTACTGTGAATATTAACAAGGAAAATAGATCACTTTACATATTGTACCTCAAAGGCCCAGTATGTTTTTTTTTTTAATCATAGATAGTAATAGTCCCTGGGCACAGATATATAATCAAAGCTTCTTTAAACAGAAAGATT